CTAATCGAACTCACGAGCGATTCGAGTCAAAACTAGATAATAGGTTGATTTAATTTAAGTATCTTATTTCAAAGTACCGTCGAAGTTAAAATTAGCAAGAAAGGAAAAAAAAAAAAAACTCTCTTCGATGATGTACAAACATATATAATTCGTGGTCAACAACAGCGTGCTTAACTTTTGTTGGCCAGTATTTGGTATAGAGGTTACACCGTATTGCTAATAGTAGTTATACTTAGATATTTGGGAAGGTATTGAGTCGAGAGGCCATGTATTTCTTGAAAATGACATCGAATCATTTCGTATCCGCTTCTGTCTTCATGCTTTCCTCAGCAGTTTGCCCCTGATTCATGGAGTCATAAATTTGGCTTGATATATGAAGGAAGAAAACGTCAGCAAAAAAAAAAAGCATCGAAGAGAAAGTGTATAAAAAAGATTCTGTATCCATGTGTCCAAATCCAGAGACAGGAATAAAGAGTCCTTTTTTTTTTATTTTTTATAAAGAGTCCAAGCAATAAGATGAACGGCTCGCATTAGATGCGTCAACATCCTAATTCCACGACAACTCGCCCTTATGACCCTAACAATTAATACATTAATTTCGTGGTCCTATTCTGAAGCAATAAAATTTTTGTACTCCTTGCAAAACGGACAAAATAAAAGACCAAAAATAAAATAAAATGAAAAATCTTCTCATATACCGCAGGGTTAAAAATTATCTACTCGAGCCGTTCGCAAAGTATTTTTCACTGGGCAATCAAATTAATTTTATAGGTTTAACTATATGCATAATGGTAATTTGCAAAATATTTAGATCGGATTGTATGAGTTGGCTTCGTTCTCGTTCTCGTTTTAGTGAATGATTATAATAAAACATGAAAAGACAGCTACTAAAGAAAGTGGAGAAGGTCCCAGCAAATCGCACTACTTGTTCGTCCTAACGGGGTAAAGTTGGATTTGGTGATTAAATTATATGTTTCAATTGCATTTCAATCAAATCTCAATGTCCTTTTCTGCAATACCTGAGAAATATTAAATGAAAAAAAATAAATAAACGACAAAGGACATTATTGAGGCGGAGAAGGTCCCAGCAAATTGCGCTGCTTGTTGTTGTCCATTATCCACGTGTGGGAAAGTAAGTACAGGGCTGAGAGCGAGAACTAGAGGGGGGATAAATCTTTGTATTTAAATCAACCTCAACCTTTTTTTTTTTTTTTTTGTGGTACCTCGACACGTCAAATAAATGAAAAATAAACAAATAAATAAAGGACGAAGGACATTAATGAGGCTATGAATATTTCTAATTGACCGTACACGCACTCTCTCAATTTTTTTAAGCTTTTATTTTAAGAATAAGAGCCAGACCGTGCATGGGAGCGTGGGAGCGTGTCAAGGAGTTCTTCCTGGTCATTGGATCCCCTCCATACAAACTCGTTTAGGCTCCTCCCATACGGCGGTAAGAGTAAGAATAGGTTAAATAGTAGTTGTTGCAGACTTTTTTTTTTGGGTAATTTCCAATCAGGCAAAGGATCCAAAATGCATATATAATATCCAAGGATGTACTGTATTCTAAATCAATTCAGATTTCATCTGGACCGGTTGTTTCTTCTCTTGTTGTTATGGTGGTACAAAATGATTTTTGAGTAAAATTTCCAACAATAAAGCAGCAAGTTAAGAACTGAGGAGCTTCGGAGGAGTTGAGGTACCTTTGTCGAATTAGCCATGGTCGGAGCTTAGTCGGACTTGATAAATTAGTGGCGTAATTAACCTACCAACTACTACTACTAGAGTGTTTCGTAGTATATGGACATATGACATACTGCATCCAAAAAAAGTTTTCTTTTTTTTTTTTTTTTAAAAAAAAGCTGGTTTGATTTGATGGAAGCATATAAAGAAAAGAAAACGAGTTTCCCTTTTTCCCTTTTTTTTACTCTGGCTTCTTGCTTTTGACCGAAATGATTTTAAGACGAAGAAAAAAAAAAAATGTTTTGACTAGCTGCATGGTCCTCCCTGAGCTCAATGTCCAATTTGACATGCTTGACCAATTCAACAAACCACGAATGGAAATAATAAGGTCATTTTGGCGACTCAATGATGCTATTATTATCATGATCATTCTCAAGCATGCTAACATATTTGATACTGGCTGCGGTACAAATCTGCGCAGTACAGTAATTAACAGGAAGGTCTTTAGCTGCAACCGCAATGGACCTCAGCAAGCGAATGCTTAATGATCGCGGACCATTAATGCGGGAAATGGCAAACATTTGGGTCGAGTGGGAGCAGCAATGGCTGAGCATTCAGTGCACTGCAGAACATGAAGAATGCTTTTCAAAAAAGCCATTCTCACTGCCTTAACAGTTTGCAATCACACATTTTTGTTTTTAATTGGAAGGTGATGCTCTTAATTAACATTTTGCTCTGAGAATTAACAGTGATGAACCTGATCTTTCGATGTGGGGTCAGATCTATGCTAGCTAATTTTGGATTTGTCAAAATTTGTCATGTGAGGACGATGAACAGCGCTCCTGCCGAGATATTGTCTATTGCTTTACCGTATCTTATATTGACGGTTGCCCACTGCAAAACTTTGCACGGTAGTATTTAATAACATTAGTCATATAGTCACGAACTCCCATGGACCTCAATCCGCGATCTGCCACTAAAACCGAATAGTTTTATCCAGCTTGTTGCTTTGAGAGTCGGTTCGACCACATATATATATATAAAGTTTTAATAATAAAAAAAAATATATTTTTATTCATTAAAAATATTATTTTACTTATTTTTAAAATTAAAATAATTATTTTTTATTTTTAAATTTCAACTCAAGCTCGTTAATTTCGAATTCGAGATTTATAAAATTAAATTTAACTCGATTCAATTCGTTTGCACCTTAATTATCACTATAGTGCTTTGTCTGGTTTGTAAGCTTCCCCGAGAAGGTTATTGATGCTGCTCTTGCTTATCTTTCATAAGTGAAATTTATTTCTGAGTTTCCAAAAAAAAAAAAAAAGGTCGCGGCTATTGCTTTACTATCTTTTTTTTGGTCATAAGCTGCCATGGACCTCAGAAAAGTCGATGCTTTATCATGGTCATGAAAGATTGCTTTAGTTTAAGCTGACCATTGATTTTTCCCAATTCCCAGAGTAGCTTATGTTTGATTATTTTCTCTTGAGAAAAAGACATATGGAAACCTCAAGGCGTATTATTGCAAAATTCTTATTTTGAAAAGAAAAGAAAAATACTAAAGTATAATAACATATCAAAGTTTCATCTACCCAACAAAATGACCATCTTCGTTACGTGTGACGTGGTTAGAATTATTCACTCGTTTTTTAAGCATTTTGTAATCACGCACACTTGTTTGAATTTGCTATTTTTTGAAGTTTTTTTTTTTAAAAATTATACTGTAACGATTTGATATATGTAAAATAAAAAAAATAATTAAAAAATATATTCACGAAAAACGTAAAAATTTTATGGAAAAAGATTCCTTTTAGGGCTATATTCTGAATTGGTTGTTAGAAACATTAATTAGGTGATTCTCAAATGCTTCCATTTTTTCATTTCTTCTCGCAAGAGACTAAGCCTCCTTGAATTTAAAAAATAAATAAAATTTGGAAGACAATATGACTAGTGGAGTACGAACACTAATAGAACTGCTATCGTGGCAGAGTGTTGCTGATGGCGATCTACGCTTTGGTTAATTACTTAATTTAGATTAGATGATGCTTAGTAACCCTAAAGCTGTGAGAAGGCCTCTTTGTTTGGATTGCATTTTTTTGAAATTTTTTGTAAAAAATTTATTATAACGATTTGATATATGTGAAATAAAAAATAATAAAAAAATGTGTTCAAGAAAAACGTAAATTTTTTTTTTTATAAATTTGCAGCATAGAGATTTGTTTTCTGCTAACGCGCATATGCCAAATATACTGTAAATGTTTTTTTTTTTCATTTAGTACTTCTAGGCACTAAATAAGTAGAGAAAAAAGAGAGGTGAGCCCACTATTAAAATGAGTACTCTCTAGGCGCTAATTAAACTACTATAAAAAAATAGTCACCACCCGCCCCTTTATTTGTAAATCTTCCGCATTAATGTACTTACTCAGAGAGTCCAATAAATTTTCATCCACTCACTAAAATTGATCCCACCCCAATACTACTAATCAGTAATCCCACGCAAACTCGGCTGCTTCTTTCAAGGTTCACTTTCTCGAATTTTGGGGTAATAAACTTTGGTCCACAACCAACATGTAGTCAAATATGGAAATCGAATTTGCCAGGATATTTCACAGATAATTTCCTGTTCAGCAATCATTTCTGCCTGAACCTAATAGATAAAACCAACTACATATTGACTTAAAAAAAGAAAAAGAAAAAGAAAAATGAAATGGAGGCTGGACAGGACCAAGACCCGGATCAATAGAAATTGTTAACGACTTGTAAGTAAATAAGAGAGGGTGGTGCCCTCATGGGCAGCTCGTTTGGTCACGACATCTTCCTTAAGAGTCGTTGTCCAGTCTCCTGCAAGGGTTCGAGTCCCATAATTAACGTATTTGGGGGGATGTGGCCTCTTCTCTCGGATCGGTGGGGGATTAATCGAGTCTGGTTTATCCGATGGCTCGAATATCCCATCCGTCAAAAAGAAAAGAAAAGAAAAAAAAAAAAGAGAGGCTGGGCTGGTGTGAAAATGAAAAGTGGTAGGTAGGGGAAAGAGGAGAGAGGAGAACGAAAAAGACTCCGGGCCTTCTTGTTGGCATTGCTATTTTAGGAAATTTGTATGGAAAAATTTATATTATAATAATTTGATATATAATTATATATATATATATATAATGATTTGATATATTTTTTAAAATTTTTAAAAATTATATTATAACGATTTAATATATATGAAAAAAAATTATAAAAAAACCGTAATCCAAAGAAGGTATGACCGCCCTCAATTCTTAATGTAGTAGTGAAATTTGTAGGATCCCATGCGTCCCATTAGCGGGAATCTGCAGAGGTGTCGTATCTGTCTGTTTCCTCTCCTCTGCCCCTCGTTCTCCATTTTTAAATACCAGTCCGACTTCCCCCACCATGGCTTAGAGGAGTTCCAACTCTTTTTAACACAGCCCATCTTCCTCCCCTCCTCCTCTCCTCCTCCCTCCTGTCAAGAAATTTCCGAGAAAACCAGCCCATTCCTCAATCATCCACTCGCCATGGCTTCCGCTACCGCAGCAGCAACCACCCTTCTCGGATTATGCAACACTACCCGCCGCTTTGTATCATTCCCTCCTAACAGTGGGCCGTCTGAAAGCACTCTAAATTCGGGTATGTTGATATCTAAGACTTGGTTGTGGAAATCCTAGCTTGTATATCGTATTCTGCCCTCTCTCTTCCCTTAATACTCCACTTGGTTTCTGCCGTTTACTGCACGATCGATTCATTAGCACAAATGGTCAGAAAATCTGCCAACACGGCTTTTCCGACCTAAATCATACTAACTTTCTTTGCATGGACAGATTTACCAATAAAATTAGTAGTGTCACAAGTAACTGGACTAAAATGAAGAAAAACTTGAAGGCCATCATCATGATAGTAGTGGGTTTCATCACCCCTGTCTCTCTGTCTCTCAGATCACTCTCTCTTGGTTTATGAGAGGAGTTGAGTCCTCAGAAGAAGGCGCATGTGTGGAGCCCTGCGCTCTTGTTGCTTCTACTATGTTTTTTCTGCTTCTTTATTTCAGTTCTCAGCGTAAATCTTCAATTACGATTACCATTGGTTGAAACTAAAGGTGCATTGATTGTAGTGGAGGAAGAAATGAGGATCCCTGCCCTGATTTCAATATTCCATCTTTTGTAGGTATTTGGTCGCCAGGCAAATCGCTTCACCATAATTTCCGTCTTCGGTGTAGCACGGTTTCCAGTCCTCCCACCAAAGGTTCACAAAAATTTAAGACTTTTGCCAAAAGAAAATTAAGTGAAATGAAAAATCAAGGGCCAACATGAGTTTAATCTAAATGCTCAAATCTCATGCAGAATTAGATGAGGGGTCCCAAAATGGCAAGCCTGTTACAAAGTGGCAAGAGATTCTGGAAGAAGGCAGCACTGAAAATGGGATTGTCGAGGTGGTAATTCATAAAAATACCATGAACAATAAATAAATAGCTCTCATTTCGATTAATTGCTTTAGCAAAATTCTTCTTTGCTTCTGTTGGAAATTGATTCCCATGTTTTCTTCTGCGACCACTTAAAATAAAAAAGGCAAGCACATCAAGTAGGATAGAAGAGAGCATAGAATCCATTCGGTCAATGCTCCGTTCCATGGATGATGGGGACATAAGCATATCGGCTTACGACACTGCATGGGTTGCCCTTGTGGAAGATGTCAACGGAAGCGGCGGCCCTCAATTTGCTACGAGTCTCCAGTGGATCGCCGATAATCAGCTTTCCGATGGTTCATGGGGTGACAGCAAAATCTTTTCGGCTCACGACCGGATACTCAACACTTTGGGATGTGTTGTTGCGTTGAAATCCTGGAACATGCATCCTGAAAAATGCGAAAAAGGTAGTGCAAATCATCGAAAATTGAATCTGCTCATCCTCTTGAGCGTGTGGGTTTTTTAAGTGGTTTGTTTGCAACTACAGGACTTGATCAGATGAAGATCATGACTCATTTCTAATTCCTGTACTAACTATTAAGTCCTGAACTTCCTTTTTTTTCAAAGGATTATTGTTCATAAGGGATAACATTCACAAGCTAGAGGATGAAAATGCTGAGCACATGCCTATCGGTTTTGAAGTGGCATTTCCTTCGCTAATTGAGATAGCCAAAAAGTTGAGCATTGAGATTCCGGCTGATTCTGCAATCCTGCAAGAGATATACGACAGAAGAAATATAAAGCTAACAAGGTACGTTCTCCAAACCAAACCCGCCCCTCCTCCCCACCAAAAGAAAAATCCGCCCCCGGGTCACTCCAAACCCAACCCCATAAACCGACCAAAAATATAAAATAAAAGGGTCCTACAGTCACTGTCACGCTGTACCTTGCATTCCATTACCAATTTGCTAAAAAAGTATGCTCACCTTACACAACAGGTACTGGCATATTATATATTATATTACGGGAAAGTTTTCCTAGCAAGGTTCCTTCTAAAGAAAGACCCTTTACACCAGCCCGTAATAAAAGATTCTTTTTTATTATCGCGGTGGTCACCACTAAAAAGTATTAAGATTTGATGGGATGAAAGGTAAGGCTTTAAGCTTTTGACTCCTATCAATTATCACAACAATATGTGGATCTGGTTAAAATAATTCATACGAGTGTGTGATGCATTCATTTGATTCAGTAGTATTTTTCAGTCCCCTTCGAATTACTTTTGGATCACTTCAGATCCTTTTTCCCTAATGTAGGTCTATTGTATCTGATAAAAAAAAAAAGACCCTTTATTCATTTGTTTAATGCCCGGTTTTTTGCAATGATAGGATACCCAAGGAAATAATGCACACCGTACCCACAACATTGCTCCATAGCTTGGAGGGTATGCCAGATCTGGACTGGCAAAGGCTACTATCACTCAAGTGTGAGGATGGTTCCTTTCTGTTTTCTCCATCCTCCACTGGTTTTGCCCTCATGCAGACTAAGAATGCTGATTGCCTCAGATATCTGACCAAAATCGTACAAAAATTCAACGGAGGAGGTAAATAGACGCCGCCAGACATCGTCTCAAACTGCTGCCACATATATATATTTTACATTAAACCCTCCCAGATCTGAATATTTTTTTTTTTTTTCAAAATTGCTTATCATTTACTAGTTCCGAACGTATACCCTGTGGACTTATTCGAACACTTATGGGCTATTGATCGACTTCAAAGACTGGGAATTTCTCGGTATTTCAAGCCAGAAATCGAGGAGTGTATCGATTATGTTCACCGGTAAATCTGATCAAACCTCGACTACCTACCCGAAACTAAATTCTTCCGTAACACAGACTAACATCAAACGTCAAAATTAATACTGATCATCGATCCTACATAATTGTCAGATATTGGACGGAGAAAGGTATCTGTTGGGCTAGAAATACCCACGTTTATGACATTGATGACACAGCAATGGGTTTCAGACTCCTAAGGCAGCACGGCTACACGGTTTCTGCAGGTTAATTACTTGCCGTTTATAATTTCGTTGCAGTACATGGTAGTATGCGACGCTCTGATAAGGATAAGGCGACGTTGTAATTGACAGATGTCTTCCGTAACTTTGAGAAGGATGGTGGATTCTTTGCCTTTGCCGGACAGTCGAACCAGGCTGTGACCGGGATGTATAACCTGTACAGAGCTTGTCAGGTGATGTTTCCTGGGGAGGAGGTACTTGCCGATGCCAGGAAGTTCTCGTCGGAATTCTTGCAAGATAAGCGAGCTAACAATGAGCTCCTAGATAAATGGATCATCATGAAAGATTTGCCTGGCGAGGTACGTTTGAAATTAATCAATTCATTAATAAAAAGAATGTTATTACTAGTAATAATACTAGTCTGCTTTAAAAATAATTTGGACTTGAGTGCAGGTCGGATACGCTCTAGACGTTCCATGGTATGCCAGTTTACCTCGTGTAGAAACCAGATGGTACTAGAACAATATGGCGGCGAAGACGATGTCTGGATTGGCAAGACATTGTACAGGTATATATCTCTACTAAAATGTAACTTCAACTAATACTTCTCCTCTTCATTTTGCCATCCTGACATTTTACCTTTCTTCAGCTTAATACATCAGCATTAGTAGTATACATCAGCAATGATAGTTTTGCTGTAACATTGAGATGGTGCGTGGGTGGGATTTAAAATGGTTAATGGAGTTGTGAATCAGAATCGCTTTTTTGAATTGTCAAAGTGATTTGAAAGAGGATGGTCAGGTCTTTCGCTGGTAAAGGCGTAAATTGAAGACGGCATCATTACTGCTCTCATCTTGAAATTTTGCGTGGTGTCTAGTCTAGCATTGGGTTAAATAAATTCACGCCTATATAGTTCCCTTCCGTTCATTTTAAGTTAACCCTTCTGGATGTCCATTAACTTGACCCTTCTGTTCACTTTTCAGGATGGGAAAAGTTAACAACAACGTCTACCTTGAGCTTGGGAAATCAGATTACAACAACTGTCAGGCACTGCATCAGCTGGAGTGGAGAAGGATACAAAAGTAAGTTCAGATTTACATCGCAACGCCTAAAGCTGGTGTCCCCATCCTATCTTTATCAAGAATTAGTTTTAAAAAAGAAAAAAAAAAGAAGGAAGCATAAACAGGTTTTTAATAGTGGATAAACCAGTTCGTCATCATGCAATTAAATTCCAATGTATTGAAAGCTGCTTGAATTTCTAAACAGATGGTATGCGGAATGCGGCCTTGGAGAGCATGGACTAAGTGAGAGAAGCCTTCTCCTGGCCTATTATCTGGCAGCTGCCAGTGTGTTCGAGCCGGAAAGGTCAAAGGAACGGCTTGCCTGGGCCAAAACAACTGCCCTCATCCCACCCTCACATCATATTTCAGCAGTGAGCAAATGGCAGGGGATCACATTGAGGCCTTTCTCCGCGACTTCCAACGCTCCTCCTCTAACCTTGACCACACCTCTGGTGGAAGGTATCCGTCCCTTCTTTCTTTCTTTTTCAAAAACACCTCCAAAAATAGCTAATTCAAACAGAACAAATGATATTTACAAAACATATTCTTTTTTTTTTCTTTTTGACTCCTTTGCTTGTATACTTGGGATTTTAAAAATATGCGAAACTATCTATAAATGAGGAGCAGAGACCGGCGATGAAATTTTTTGTACATGTTTCAGAAAAAGAATATAGACTCGAGATGTTAATACATTTTTCCCCTTTTTTGGCACAAAATGATTACCACCGTTGAATATTATTTTGAGGAAGTGAGTGGTGGGTGCAGATACGGGCCGACCCAAGGATTGCTCAGGACTGTACTTGGAACGCTGAATCAGCTGTCTTTGGACGCAGTGTTAGTACACGGCAGAGACATCCATCAATATCTGCGTCGCGCTGTGAGTTGCTGTTGTTTTGTCACAAGATTTTCTGCCAACTATATCCAGTAAACGATACGTGGGATTTGACTTTTTAACTGTTCTTCTTTTTTTTTTTTCCAATTTCGATTGGGAATACGTAGTGGGAGAAGTGGTTGATAGCTTTGCAAGAGGGAGGTGAGATGGGTCAAGAGGAAGCAGAACTTACAGTGCGCACACTAAATCTGTGCGCCGGCGGCTACCCATCGGAGGAGTTATTGTTGTCCCATCCCAAGTATCAACAGCTCATGCGTCTCACTTCTAGAGTTTGTCACCAAATTCGTCATTTCGAAAACAAAAAGGTTAGAGACATAGTAGCCAGCGGTGGCACAACTTTCTTTCCATAGTAGCTACTTTATTCGACATTTTGGGTAAAAATACGGCAACTCGGACTGACTTTTGTGTGTGGCATCGTCCGGACATCCAACTCATCAATCAATTATGTTAGAATGGACTGAGTTATTGCTTTATCATTACTGCTTCTTTCGTGTGAAACCATTTAAAGAAATATATAACTTGCGCCCCACCTTTGATCAGGTACATGGTAGGGATAATAATGGAAGTGCAAACGCGGGTGGCATCACAAGCGTCAGCTCCATAGAAGCAGACATGCAAGAACTAGCGAAGCTTGTTCTCACCAGTAGCCCGAGCGATCTAGATGCTGATGTCAAGCAAACATTTCTCACAGTGGCAAGGAGCTTCTACTACACCGCCCATTGCAATCCAGGAACCGTCAATTTCCATATGGCCAAAGTTCTCTTTGAGAGAGTACTTTGATTTAACATGTCCATTCCTTTTGTTCTCGTCGCTAAATGGCACCCAGTGAAAAGTTTATTCTCATACTGTTGTAGTAGTAATTAAGTGCTCACAACATGTATAGAAACGAATAATTATATGTAATTTTTCTTTTAATCTTCAATGTGCCTTAGAAAATATTGGCAAATCCAATCTAAGCTTGTGAACGTACAGCATTTAATTAAGTGAACTTGTGGAAGATTACGCATGCATGGTTCATACGCTTGACGGAACTAAATGTAGTGGATGCATTTGCAGAAAGCACATTATATGTTGTTCTTTGCCTGAGAATCTGCACGCTTGTAAGCCTGTTTAGATCATGGTTTCTCCGTAAGTGTGTGATGCGTCGATAATGGCAGAGGCATGTTCTTGAATGACATGCGACAAGTTGCTACTTCATCTCTTTGATTGATGTCAAAGTGGAGATAAAGCCAGATCCAACGTATGGCGGTGATTCGGTTTCCATTTTAAACCGGACAGGGCAAGAGATAAAATTAGAAAATTCTAGGGCCTTTTTGTATCAGGCAGAGATAAATTTTGGGGAGGCTGGAGAAAGTGGGATTTTGACAGAAATTTGACTCCTCGGATTCCTGCTGATGGAAAAACAATGGTGAGGAAGTGGGAAAAACTCTCCGTTCTTCTCGTACGAGCAAGGGCTGCAAGTGGATCGCCTGCCGCCCTGTAATTCTGATATCTGATCTCTATCCGGAATTTATGATATTGCTTTTTCTACGTGTGTTTTCCAAATCAATTTTTGATTAAATTAACTCATCAAAATCACTTTAAATTTTTTTTTTAAAAAAATCATTTAGAAGATGGAATTAATTTCTATACATTGTGAGTGTAAAATTTTTCTCTCTTTTTTTTTTAACACGAGCCGAACAAAAAACACAGTTTACAATTTGTTAACATAATACATCAACTCAATTCTTAAAAAGAAGAAGTCATGTAAACAACAATAAATAATAGCAAGAGCCAAAAAGTAGTAGCTAGTAAATTCCTTGACACTTCCCATTACCACCAAAACAAAAAAGAGAAAAGAAAGAACCAAATGTATGAAATTAATTAAAAATTACTGATTTTTTTTTTCCAATACAATAGCTTGCTATACTATGGGAAGGGGAAGGGAGGGGGAGGGCCTGAATAGGTCTTGGGATAATTCGGAAAGAACTGAACCACCACGGAATCAGACGGATACAATTAAGTGGGGCCACATTTAACTGTGACAAATTGGTGGGGAGCGGTCCCCACAACAATCGTCCCCCTTTCTTTTCATAATCAAAGAAAGCAAGAGCTGGGAAAGGCCGCAACGCAGGTGCAGAGCAAAGGCGAACAGATGGCTGGCCCAGGTTATAGTTGTCTTGCTGGTTTTGGCAGCGTCTTTACACTTTATACAGCCCACAAGCAACAGTCGTGTGTCGCAACGGATCTTCTATCCCACGTCCTGTGCCATTTTTTGTTCTACTTTTTATTATATTGCTATTTCTTCCTCATAAATATCATGTTTTAATTCTTTTTGCTTCCTTAAGATCCAATAACTATTAATTGAGTAATACACAAAATTTAACAAACTCAAAAAATCAAAATGCATAAAAAATGAGATTTTTAATGAATTTTCTGCTGTATTTTTAAATTTTCTATATATATTGCTTTTTTGAAGCTGTTGTATTATTTTTTACTTAATTAATAGTTATTGGATTTTAATGAAACAAAAAAAAAATTAAAACATGATATTTATGTAGGAGAAATAGTAATATAATAAAAGTGGCATAGAGTGTGGGACAGAAGATCCGTTACGGCCAAGTTTTTTTTTTTTTTTTTTTAGTTGAACCATGGCTCAGACAGGAACACATGCAACCTCAAATCACTGTCGCACAATTTTTGGAAGAGAGAGGGGGGCGGGGGGGTGGGTGGGGAACATGAACCATTCAACCCCACCTCTCTTCAGGCTCAAAATATCAAATGGGGTATGGCATGGAAAAGAACAAAAGAGAAATCAAATCCATAACAAGTACTAGTAGTAGATCAACATTGCTCTTGCGAACTTTTGCTACCATACTCTCCACCGTCCCCCTCCTATCAAATATGCTGTTTCGTTTTTGGTTCTCTTTAGCCAGTGGGTAAGATTTTTCAAAGAGTAAAATGCAATTTTAATATCCAAACTTTAATTCTTGAGCAATTTTAGTTCCAAAACTCTGGATGAAAATAAATTCAATATCTAATATTACAATATTTAAGTACATTTGGTATGATTTCATGGTTGAATCCAATAAATATTCGATTGAAGTAAGGGTCCCAAAGCTTTTTTTTTTTTGTTTTTTGCTGCTTTGATTTATTGAAGGGTACGGACAAGAGAATAGAGGAGTTTTGAGCGTATATGAGTAGCTCGACTAGATATTTTCTTTAGTTGAGTTGTTTTCTTTTTAAATGACTAAGTCACATTCTATTAGTCCTTAAATCATTAGCCATGAGGTTGGCAGTTTTTTTTTTTTTTTGAAATTTTTAAAATTTTGTGGCTGGACAATAAGTAACTTTTCGAAGTAGGAAATTTTTTTTTTTTTTTTTAAAAAAAGAATCTGTCAAGTGCACTGTATGGACTTATATATTGTAACATTAAGTATTACAATTATTTTTATTCAAAGTTCGGATACCAAAATAACTCAAGAAATTTTTTTTTTTTGAAAAACAATTTGGAGGCTTTCATTCATGATGAATATGTGGTCACAGCATCAATTGGTCCTCCTCTTGGGGAAGTCCATAAACCAAACTCTAGTCCCCTCAAAAGTAAAGATATTTTTGACATAATGTGAGCAGGAACATTATTGGTTCCTCATGTGACTTAATTCTGACACGCTCAAAACTAGCCAACATTTGAATTAAAGTTTGAGTATCAGCCAACAGCCAAGAGGCTGTTGGTAAAGTCTTGGTGGGGTGGTGAAATTTTGCTTTTCACCGTATATTTGCCACTTAAGTGTGACTGTCAATTTTAAGTAGTTTTCTCCGACGATTTTTTGTCGGTTAAGTTTCCCTTTCTTCCGTAGACTAGGCCTCCTTCCCCTATATTAAATTAAAATAGATTATACAAATATTATTATTACGACAAAAAAAGTTAAAATTTGAGTATCAAAACCGTATTTTTCTCCTTTCGGAATGCTAATAAGTACGCTGGTGTGACCCATAGCCCATTGTACGCTCAAGACTCGAGATTCGTTCTTTCTATCAAAGCGCAAAATTTCCCAGCAAACCAAGGTGCGAGGCTGCGTAATATTGTAACATTGAGTAGGAATTGACAAAAAAAAAAAAAAAAGAATCTGTCAAGTGCACTGCATTCACTTATATATTGTAACATTGAGTATTAAATTTTTTTTTATTCAAAGTTCGGATACCAAAATAACTCAAGAGTTTTTTTTTTTTTTTTGGATAAATAATTTGGAGACTTTCATTCATGATGAATATGTGGTTACAGCATCAATTGGTCCTCCTCTTCGTCCAGTCCCCTCAAAATAAAGATATTTTTGACATAGCGTGGGCAGGAACAACTTATTGGTCCTCCTCACATGACTAATTCTGACACACTCAAAACCAGCCAACATTTGAGTAAGTAAGTATCAAAACCAACCACCAGCAATAAGTGCACACAAAACCGTATTTTTATCCTTTCCGAACGCTAATAAGTGCGCTGGTGTGACCACATGGCCCATTGTACGCTCAAGAGATTGGTCCTTTTCAATCAAAGCGCAAAATTTCCCAGCAAACAAAGGTACGAGGCTGCGTAATAAGACCTTCAAGTCTCCTGGCAATCTGGAGCGAGTTCTTATAAACCTTCGTCTTGTCAGCCCATTTTGTTTGACAAGTCCACGATTCAGAGCCCGTACATGCTCTAAGCAACCAAACTCACTGCAAGAATCTGCTCCGCTACAGGACAAGAAATTATTACACTTTGTCTTCTTGCACTTGATCTCTACATTTACTTTGAGCTACTTGGACATTTTTCTTTACAATTTTTTTTATTATTACTAAAAAGTCAAATACATGGCGTAGTTGCATTCAACTAGATTTAGCACCTACTGGAAGAAAAAAAAGTCATTTATTAGGGACACATTTATTATATACATACGTTCAAGAGTTGGTTGGGACTACTTTGGTCATGCAAAATATAACTTCTATTCTAAATTTGCCAACAACTTGACCATGAGAAATAATGTATATATATATATATAGAGTTTAAGGGGCAAAATGTTACTTTGAACCAAGTTCAAGAGGGCAAAGTGTAATTGACCCTGGTACTAACAACCTCATCCTGGCAATACATTTTCCCGTTGATCATAATTCAACGAACTTTTTTTTTCGTTTAGGAAATTCTTTAAGCTTGACATAGATGTTGGAGAGATTAATCGACAAGCTACCTTAGTACGAATCAAGCACGCATCATATATTACCAAAGACCAAATAATGAAAGTTGAAGTGTTGAGGGGAAACAGCGAAGCGAAGATCAACACAACTAAATCTGCTTTACTCGAGGATAACAAATTATTAACCATAACACGCCGCGCACAGGACAACTGCCTCCTGTGCGCGGGGAGCAGAAGCAGAAGGAATACGAAACATTGGCATAAATTCTGAAATACAAATCTTATAGCTCATCGTTACATGCCTGACTACAACCGCATCAAGATGCTCTAATGCAAAATCACAACCATGCCAAAGCATCATATTTTCTTTTAATGTTAATTAAATGAAGGATCTAATCATACTCCAATTCATCCGGAGTTACTGGACGTTTAAGGGGGATGATAGACTTCTTTTCTACATCCCGAGACAATGCTTTTCTCATATCTGAAATGGGTTACACATAGACAAGTCAGGGGTAACATAAGAGTGAAGTTCAAAGGAAAACTCGTAACTATTGGATGCAGGTACTCACCCAAGCCATCCTCTTCCCCAGAGTAATATCGTAGTACACGTCGATATATAACATATCCAAGCTGAAAGGAAGGCAAATTTTATGAGAATCTAACACTCTCAAAGATAACTGCTATTAGCAGATTTGGTATGGTAAGAACATGAAAAGAGAGGCCAAAAGCCTTACCTTTTCATACATCTTTATGGCTGGTGTATTTGATGCTCTCACAAAAAGGTCCACAAAATAAGCCTTATCACTGTTTAAAAAAAGGAGGAGAGAAGAGGGGAGGGGGGGGGCGGGCAATC